CCCCCCCCCCCCCCCCCCCTACCCCCTCCGTCCGTCCCCCCTGAAGGGACGTCTTGAGCACCGCCGTCCTGGCGGACTCTATGCAGGCGTTCCTCCCCCAGGGTCTGTCGGCGCTCTCCAGCATCGTCAGGAACTGGACTTTCTCGCTGTTCTACCTCATGTCGGAGCTGTGGGGGTCCGTGGTCGTCAGCGTCTTGGTGAGGAGCGGGAAGACGGGAGGGGGAGGGACCACAGTCCAAGAGTCTGCTCATTTTTTTCTCCTTTGTATTGTTTTCAGATGTGACAAAGATGGCTGCGTACATGCCGTTGTCGCTCTTTGGGCACCGGCGGTTGGGTCGGGGTGTGTAGGGGGGTGCTTCTTTCACTCCCGGTGACTGTTGCTTGTCCTAAGGCGTACCCCCTTTTCTTCGGGGGGCAAGGGGGGCGAAATGGAGGAAATCTGCGGACACGTAGTGCACATTAACCTCACGTGATTATTGTTGAGTACAGCGGCATGTTCCTCTTCAACACCTTGTCTACCGTATTGCCAGGTAGGACAGACCGATTATGACGAGGTCACTATTTCGAGTGCTACTACTCCGCCTGCCGTTGTGAAAGTACAGTATCTCAGAGAACTACGGGGTGCGTGCACGTCATGTGGGTTGATTTTCCGGTGCCCCTCCCACCTTCCGAACCGTCTCCCCTGGCGACCCTGCCCCCCCCCCGTCCTCCTTTCTGCCTATCGCCCTCCATCCCGCTGCTGCTGCTGCTGCTGCTGCTGCTGCTGCTGCTTTTCCGCCCTCCATTCCTCTCAGTTTTGGGGATTCGCAAACGAAATCGTGTCCGTATCGGAGGCGAAGCGATTCTACCCTCTCTTCGGCTTGGGCGCCAACGTAGCCCTCGTCTTCTCCGGGCAGTACGTGAGGTGAGATGTGCGACAACACAACACACATACACGGCAGCCAGCAGCCAGTACGGACACAGCAGCAGCAGCAGCAGCAGCAGCAGCAGCAGCAGCAGTAGCAGCAGCAGTAGCAGCAGCAGTAGCAGTTTTGTGAAAGGTTGACGCGCCACCATGTGCTGCGACAGTTTCTGTTTCCACCACGATTTAGTTGTCAAGGGGGGGGCGTAGAGTGTAGACACACGGTTGATTGTTGACGGTGATGACGATGCGTGGGTCCTCGCGACTATATGGCGCCACGCTGCTCGCATTCGTGATTGCTTGGGATATGCTACTAGAGGATGGGGGTGGTGGGGGGGGGATAGGTCAATCACACGTGTTCGCGCGTCGCTTGCGGGTCGCCTTGTGTGATTGTATGCTACTTATGTTGTGTTCTTGGGTGGTGTCGCCATTTCAGGGCATCTAGTCATCAACTACGACTCTCCAGCCGAGTCTAGCGAATAGCGTCGGCAACCTCCCCCCCCAAGACGGGGACAGCTTCTTGCCGCCGTGCTCCCTTAGGTACCCCCCCTTCTTCTAACGATGATGATCACCGTAACTAACCAAGTAGTATAATAGTTTCATGTGCTTGTTTGGCTGCTTTCTACTTCGGTTCCCCCCTCTTGGTTTTTCTGTCTCCTTTCTCAACGCCGCCTCATTTCCACGACGTTTCTGCACCGCCTCCGGCGGTGGACCCGATCGAACAGGCTGGTGTCCTCGATCCGGCAGTCCCTTCCCCCAGACGTGGACAAATGGGGGGTGTCTCTGCAGCTGCTCATGGGCGCGGTCGTCACGGGCGGGCTGGTCGTGGCCGGGTGCTACCGGTGGATGCAGGAAAACGTTATTACGGACCCGGAGTGTGTCGATGCTGCCAGGTAAGGTGGCAACCTGCAACGCGGCGCGGCGGTCTTGAGGGCGTTGTGCCGAGCACGCCTTTGTTTCGGCTTCCATCCGTTGTTACGTTCCTTGTGGTTCTTGGGTGTACCACCGGTGATGTTTTGGTTGCCCAAGTATTTCGTTCGTTTTTTTTTTTTTGTGGCTCTTATTTAACGACACGTGCTGTTTTTTGGCTGTAGCCCTTCGTCGTCGTTGCAGCTGTCATAGACGTGGTCCCCGTTCCTATTTGTTGGTGTGTTGGAATTGTCCATGGCCATATTTTAGCCGTAAACATCTTTGTGACCGTCACCATTTCTTGTGTTGCTGCTATCCCTGTCGGCGTACCCCCCCCCCCCCCCCCCCCCCCCCCCCCCCCCCCCCCCCCCCCCCCCCCCCCCCCCCCCCCCCCCCCCCCCCCCCCCCCCCCCCCCCCCCCCCCCCCCCCCCCCCCCCCCCCCCCCCCCCCCCCCCCCCCCCCCCCCCCCCCCCCCCCCCCCCCCCCCCCCCCCCCCCCCCCCCCCCCCCCCCCCCCCCCCCCCCCCCCCCCCCCCCCCCCCCCCCCCCCCCCCCCCCCCCCCCCCCCCCCCCCCCCCCCCCCCCCCCCCCCCCCCCCCCCCCCCCCCCCCCCCCCCCCCCCCCCCCCCCCCCCCCCCCCCCCCCCCCCCCCCCCCCCCCCCCCCCCCCCCCCCCCCCCCCCCCCCCCCCCCCCCCCCCCCCCCCCCCCCCCCCCCCCCCCCCCCCCCCCCCCCCCCCCCCCCCCCCCCCCCCCCCCCCCCCCCCCCCCCCCCCCCCCCCCCCCCCCCCCCCCCCCCCCCCCCCCCCCCCCCCCCCCCCCCCCCCCCCCCCCCCCCTCTTGGCTTCTGGTTCTGCCCCGTCGAGAATAGCGCCGCCTGCATGAAGGAGACGACCAGCCTGACCCTCAGGGAGAGCGCCGCCTTCCTTGGGTCCAACGACTACCTTCGTGACGTCGCTATCCTTGTCATCGCCTACGGCACCAGCATCAACATCGTTGAAGGTGGGTGGTGGTGCCATGTGCCTTCGGGTAGACAGGCAGACGTGGATGACGATGATGATGATGGTGATGGTGTGTCACGCACCGGAGGGGGAAAGTTTTCTGTCGACAACGACGGTTTGCGGTGTTTGTGCTTGGTTCAGCTTGTTCTCGATGGTGAGAGGTGAGGATTTTTTTCCGCTCCAGCAATTCTTGGTGATTGATATTGTTTTGGGGGCAAATCGCGTCGTCTTGAGGACATTGTGACCTGTTTCTGTCCTTGAGGGGGGGATCATTGTCGCCGCACACTATCTCCCCCTACCACAAAGTTACGTCGCACAGGCTTTTCGCGTGTTTTGACACTCCACGAACGATATTACTCCTTTACACTCTCTTCCGATGTTTAAACGCGGTTCCTTTGGTGAAGTCGTTCTACGTATCATTCACGGTCTGGTACTTTGATGAAGCTTTGGAGAAGAGCCGAAGAAACAGGCTCAAACGAGAATCGGGCTTCAATGGCAGGCCCAGATGTACTTTTCCATCTTGGTCGGTTCATGTAGGCCTTCACTCCTTCCTCTGACGCAGCGGTAGCAGCCATCAAAGCGATGCCACTTTATTTATTTCGTATCTGTTTTTCCCCGCTCTCTGTTGTCGCTCTTGTCTGTTTCTCTCTTCCACTCAAGTCACGTGGAAGGCGAAGCTGAAAATGGCTTACCCTGACCCTAACGACTACTCCGCTTTCATGGTAAGAGAACCTGTTCCGTCTACTGCTGTTGGAGCCTTTCCCTCACACGCCAACAGCAACTCGAGTTGCTGGCTGCGCCACCACTGCTTGCGTGATCACCTTCATCTTCGTTTGGGCCTGTTGGCCTGCTGTCGAGAGGAAGACTTGTCGAGTGATCGTAACGTGCACGCATGAGAGTTCATAAATTGTGGCAGTATTGTCTTTGCTGGACTCTAGGCCCCGTTCCCCCTTATCGTCGCCACACAACGTCAATAAATCAACCAGGGGGTAGCCGGAAACAATAATGTAGTCGTCGAAGGAAAATTATTTTCATGTATGGAATAAGTAACTTTGCAGCGAAGGTTCAGCGGTGTCCCCTGCCCCCTACCCCCGGCTTGATGGTGATGGTGATGTTTTGGACGATATAGACACCGCAGGTAAAGTACCCGTGTCAACGACCAAACTATTAATAATAGTGGCGCCTCACGCGCGGGCTTTGCTAGTTTACTGAGACTTTTTTTTCTACGTCGTATGTCTACATCCGATGCGACTTTGTCGTTTTTCCACGCTGCAGGGCAACTTCTCGAGCACCACCGGCCTGGTAACGCTGGGTATGATGCTCCTGGGCGGGCAGGTGTTCAAGAACTACGGGTGGGGCACGGCAGCGAAGGCGACGCCGGTAGTGCTTCTTGTAACCGGGGTGAGAAGAGGAAAGGCGAGGGGGGTCCGGGCGGCTTGCTCAGAGGCATAAATCCAGATGGCTTTCGACAGACAGACAGACCAGCCATCATGAACGTGTGCTATGTATGCCTGTCTGGTTTGTACCATGCACTTTTTGTTTTTGTTGTCGCTTGTTGCGCGTGCTCTCGCTTTTTTTTCGACAAAGGCGGACATACATGGACAACTTGGGGACCCAAACCCCCGCGCTGTTCGGCGAAAAAATTGCGGACCATGCGCGCAAGTCTCTCGCGCCAGATGGTGATGATGCTCCCTGTCACCGTCTCCTCGGACCTGTGTCCAGTAGGTGCTACATAAAGTCACCGACCGAGTTTGAGACTACTTACTCTCAATATACTCTTGAAAGAGTTGCACGCGTTTAGCAATGCCCCACCAGACACACCCTCGCAGGCTCATGCTCACACCCCGGCTGACTCTTGGCGGGGTGTTGGTGTGTGATGGTCGTCATCACGCCCCTCCCCCTAACAGGTTGGTTTCTTCTCGCTATCTATCTTCGGGGATGCATCACCGGTGCAGGAGATGCTGGGGGCTTTGAGCACAAACCCTCTAACCCTGGCGGTGCTGGCGGGCGCGGCCCAGAACGTGCTGTCCAAGTCTTGCAAGTAAGGGAGAGGCGGGGAAAGACAGAGAGAAGAGGGGGGGGGGGAGCAAGAGAAAGCACCTCGAAGGAGGCTAGAAGATACGGCAAGCAGAAACTGCTACTTTGAGTGGGACACCTGGTGGGAATAGTATATCACAGACAAGTGCGAGGGGAGAACGAGGAGTGAGAATTGCATAAACAAGAGGCCGTCGTGTTTTTCTCTTTGCTTCGTTTGGGTGTGTTGATTCTGCTTGTGGGGTGCTCTTGCTGCTATTGCTACTCTTGTCCCTGCTCCTGCCACGAACTCTGTTTTTTTGTGTGCTACAATGCAACAAATTCAAGGTATGCTCGTGTTGCTGAATGCTACTGCTGCTGGTGGTGCCTCTGTGCTGCTGCTGATGCTACTGCTCGCCCACCGTCCAAATCCCCAGGTACTCGCTCTTCGACCCCTGCAAAGAAATGGCTTACATTCCCCTGTCCCAGGAGGAGAAGCGTAAGGGCAAGGCTGCCGTCGACGTAGTAGGAAACCCTCTCGGCAAATCCACAGGCTCATTCGTCCAGCAGGTGGGCCAACCAACCAACCAGTTGGTCAGTCATGGAGACAGGACGTCGAGAGGAGGAGAAACACGCCTTGGTGTATGTGAATAAATTGTCTGGGTGGGCTGATTGCTTCAGATGGAGGAGAGGGGTTTGATTGTGTTGCCCGGGGTACAGCAGAAGTAGAAGCGACTAAGATCTTTCCAGCCGTTGCGATTTCCTGGTCTATTGGACGGACCACCACAAACACGAATAAAAGCAAAACATTTGGCAAACCATAGGCGTAGTGTGGGTTGTCTCTGTCTCTGTCTCTGTCTCTGTCTGTCTGTCTGTCTGTCTGTCTGTCTGTCTGTCTGTCTGCTAGCTATAGCCCGGACTCTTCATCAAATCCTCGTCCTGTCAGGGGGTCTTGAGACTAAATGGGAACTACCAGGATGAACTCGCAAACAACGTCGAGATTTGTCGTGTTTTCAAGTCTTGTTATTGGTTGGTTCATTTCATGTTGACTCTCCTCACCACTCGGTTGCGCCTGCTGTTCACCTCCGCCGAAAAGGGACTCTTCCTTGCGACGGGGTCCCTCCAGGCCTCCACCCCCTACCTGGGGGGGGTATTGCTCGCCGTGATCACCACGTGGCTCTTCGCAGCGGACTCGCTCTCCAAGAAGGTGGGCATGTTTTCGTTCCTCACGGGCTGTCGTGGATGTGTTTTTTTCAAGAGTGGTTTTATCAGCTAAGGCATGCAGAACATGAGTAGCCCCCCCCCCCCCCCCCCCCCCCCCCCCCCCCCCCCCCCCCCCCCCCCCCCCCCCCCCCCCCCCCCCCCNATGTGCACCGCGTTGTTCTCATGCGAGGTGGTGATTCGGACTTCTTGTTGTTGTCTCTTATCGTTGCGAGTTTGCCTCGTCCTCGCCTGCTCTTGTACGTACTTGTTGTGTTTCGTGCACTCTGCTGTGCAACGAACACTTTGTTTACTACTGTGCAGCGAACACGGTTATTTCTGAGAGAATTAACACAAATGTCTACGAGTTGGGAGAGCTGCTTTGGGGAATCTTTGGGAAGGAGGCCAGGGTCAAAATGGCGCCGAAACGTTGCTCTTGTCCGCCACCCATCGTCCTTTTCGCTTGAAGCTCGAAGGTGCTCTTTTTATGTCGTAGCGTTTTCGATTTGATACTGTACGCACTCTCCTGAGACGAGCTTTTTCTTGTGCGTGTTCCTCTTCGTGCTCAATCTGCAGTTCGAGGCAGCGATGGGACTGGTGGGCGATACGACGGCGCCGCCGGCATTGGCATCGGCATCGGAAGGACCACGATCACCACCACCGCCTGCTGCCGCAGCAGCAGCAACAGCAACAACAATGCCAAGGGTTACCACCGACGCACAGGCGGCAGGGACAGCAGCGGCAGCGGGTCAGGAGTTGGCGGAAGAGAAGGAGGCGGCAGCGGGGCATGGGCTGGGGCGATAAGGACGCGAAGCCGAGGCCAAGGCTGCACAACTGGTGGGTTAGTCCACTGCAGCGGCACCGGGTGCGCGTACTGTACGGTGAAAGGCGAGGAAGGCCGGGTTTGTAAACCCTTTGGTGGCAACGACGAAGTGCATGCGGTTTTGGTGGCGGCGGCGGCGGCGGTGTGTTGTTGGTGCGGATTTGTTCTCCCACACACCGCTCAATAACACCGTCCGTGACAGGTCGGGGAGCAGGTGGACCTGGACAGCGGGAAGATGTGAGAAGAATGGGCACGAAGGCGCGACAGACACTGGAAGGGACGGGAGAAAAAGAAAGGATGAGGGGGGGGGGCGAAAGGAGAGAAAGGAAACAAGACGTTTGATAGATGGCATGCGAGCCTCGCGGATGTTGATCTCACCAGATAGATTTGGAGAGGAAGGGGAAAGATGATGAGGGTGAAGGCGGAGGACTAGAGGACTAGAAGGGCCGGAGGGAGTGATGGTGAGATTTAACCAACCACGTGCAGGCAGAGGCGCGTCTCCTTACGCCTCGTGTGACGCTTTGTGTGAGAAAACATAGTACTTGCACTTTGGTGCGGACCACCAGTGCGCCGCCCCTCCTTCCCCCTGCTGTGGATTGTCCGTAGCGTGTCACATCCTCCAAGTCGGATGCCGTACTGCTGTGTATCTTCCTCTCAACAGTCCAGTTAACAGAAGCTATGATGACCTTTGGCCTTTTTTTCTTGTCTGAGCTCTGAAAGCATGGTGTATTCTTTGACTGATTTCCCGGATGAACAAGGGGTAGGCGTCGCGTTGACGCTTGTCTGCTCGGTGACCTTAGGTGTCGACGTTGGTGGTATACGATGTGTGTTAACTAGAGTAGCAGCGTTGTCAACTTGTTTTAGCTGCAAGCTATGTATTTGGAGCGAGACGCGGGCGGAAGGGTGTGGCCTTAAGGCGCTTTGCAGACACCCCGAGACGCCCGACGGACATGATCACAAGTATTCCAATACATGGAGTGCACAGACGAAAAAGAGTGCGGTGTCGAGCTTACCGCCCGAAAGATAACACAGAGCGAGAAATCGCACCATTGACATAGACAGAGCGGGAGACGCACCGTAGATAACGCTGCAGCGGTGACGCTTTTCCGTCCATAGACAACAAAATTCGACTAACAGAGCGGGGTAGAGGCATGGGTCTGTCTGCGGAGGCTGTGCGTGAGGGGTGTAGTGTTAGTGGTGCGGGCCGTATTTGTTTGTTGTGTGTGTATCATGTTTTCCGTCATTGACGTCGTAGACTTATGAGGGTGTGACGAGGTTGCAAGACCGACTGTATGTGATAATTTCATGCGCCCGTTCAATGTCCGCCCTGCTTTCGGTGACTGTGTAAACCGTGTGTTTCAAAACCCCGAGTGCTTCATAGACGCCCAGGATGTGAGCCGCCCGCAGGCAATCCCTAGACTACAATGCGTACGAGAGGGATCCGGAATAACGAGTAGCAAGCATCCTGGCTTGTTTCTTCTTCTCAAGTCCAGTGAGATAAGCGATTACGCTTTTAGTGTTCTTAGATTGATGACCCCGGATGCGCAAAAGGTGGGTGTCGCGGTTACGCTTGTCAGTGTCTGATTGGTGGGCATAGGATTCAAACTTCTTGGTTTGGAAATTAATTAGTAGATACGCGTCGTCACAGTAGCAGACCTTGGATAGACATCCTTTGTAGATATCGATGCGCCCTGATTTCCAATGTTTCGAGAGCATTCGTGACATGGCGCAGTCCGGCAATTTGCGGAGGGAGTTGCGATGCGTCTTGCACAATATGCCGCCAAGAGCCCCCACTGCCCATCGATCACCTCGTCCGTAATAATTCGAGGTTTGACAGACGAAAAGGTTGAAATTCGTTTGCATGGCGATCGATTGTCCCTCTGTAAACTCCAGACTCTAGGTCAGCGCAGACGAATATTGATGAACGTCCTCAGAGTATCGTCTAAGCGCAGCAATGTTTTTTTTCCTGCCCAACCTTAGCCGAAAGGCCCGAGGTACGGTTAGAATGAAACGGCCGGTTTTACAGACCAACGCCAAATGCCAGGATGACGATGATCATGATGTCAACTGCCGCTGACCCAATGAAGAAGTGGAGTGCCGGGCGGGAACTGAAATCTGGAATGAAATAAGGATGGTACCATGCGTACCGCACTGTCATCTCGAGAACGGTAGGAAACCATAGAACACCAACGACCTCTCTCCATGCATGTGCCTAGAAACGACTGACCTTTCGGTGTACATGGCCTGCTTTTTTAGAGGAGGTTAGCTCGACCAAAAGTAGGGAGAAAATCTAGCTTTTCGGGAAGACAGTCGCAAGGAGCGACAGCAGGAACAACTTCGTGAGGTCTCGTCCCGACGAATGGACTGGAACCTCTCCGCGTAAATATACATATATACATACATGTATCTACTCAAGCCGATGGTTCAATCGAGTGCCCCCCGGATTGTTGAAAAGGCAGGGGAGCGATGCACCCGGAGTCTTCTCTTGAGATCAGCTTGAATAATATCGTTGTGCCGCATGCATGGTGTCATGTGCCCGTGGCAGGGGACTTCGTGAGAGGCATACAGACGAGGTGTGCCGCTTACGTTGTGGAGATTCTTCGTGTGTAGATGACAGTGCAAACAATCCCCAAAAGCTGCCAACATAAAGTTCATCACCCGCTTTGACTCCGTTCTCTAAATAGGAGGTGGGCCCGAGAACTACGAAAATTCGTGGTCTTCTCTAGAATCCTACACACTGTCATAGATTCCACTATCTTTGTCTCCTTCTTAGACTGCACTCGGTTTGTCCCTGTCGCTCTACTCGCTCGCTCTCTTGGCTGTCTCTCTCAATTCTTTGAATCCCCAGACAATCCTTCGTCTGTACCATAGCTTTCTACTCCCATCAGACAGGTGCTTGGGTAGGATACCATGACTAAAGGCTAGTGGTTTTCATCCAATCTCACACATTAGTTCGGTGGGCACAGCTGAACTAAAAACAAACACGTCCTCCAAAAAGGAAAGAGTAAGACGTGCAAACTTGACAGTTTCACTGACAAAGCACCAAGGATACGGCTCATGGGTGGCCGCAAACTCTACTGCACGCCCCTCTCCATGCCTCCCTGTTCTAGCGGTATAATCCAACGCCTTAGGACAACACGAAAGCCTCCAAAGCCCCTTGAACCAAACGGAACACAACCGAAACGCAAAGCCTTCGCACCTCACCCACCGAAAGTATTCACATTTTCCGTGCACACATCCCTCCCTCTCATAACGTTGACTCATGCCTAAAAAAACTAGAACAAACGCCCTAGGGTTGACCTAAGCGAATAACCACAACACAAATCAAGCAGTATCGACAAGAATGACCTGAAGCGCCCTTGGCGAGAAGGAGAGGACCAAGGACCCTTCATCAACACAAACTCCCCTCGTCTTCCTAATCCCCTCTTGTACCAACAAATAGCCTGTAACGCGCACAAATTGGCCTATCCGCTCTTTACCAACACTCGCGGGAACACAACCGGGGTGGCAACAACAGCAACAACAACGACGACGACAACCACCATTCACAACGAACAAATCATGACGAAAACTACGTGATCCCGCTCACGTCCAACCGTTTCCTCGACGCCCTCCTCGCGACGTTCCTCTCTGCGTCCATGCCCGCCTCTTCTCCACTCGGCAGGACCAGGTGCTGGCTGGCAACGCCGCCGGCGCCGCCGTGCAGGAAGTTCCCGCTCTCTTCCCTGGACCCCCGTCGGCTTGGCGGCTCGCTCGAACCTACCGCCTCCTCCTCGTCCGCCAGAGAAACTCCTTGCCAACCCCAATCCCCCCTCGCCGACGGCAAGTGAGGCGTGTTTCTGGCGGTGGCGGTGGCGGTGCCGGTGCCGCCACCGCCGTCCGCCGCTCCTTCTCTACTCTCCCCCGCCGCCAACATGCCTCTCCGTTCCGAGTCATCCCTCCCACCATTCTCCCCTGTCGCCGCCGCCGCCGCCGCTACTGCCGCGCCTTCGCGACAAGCGTCGCCGAAACCGTCGCCGCTGCCGCCGGCCGCGGGGGGGCGGGACGCAGGTCCGCGGCCCGAAGGGTTCGGGCGGTAGCGCGCCGAGGCGGCGGCGTCAGCGTGGAGCTGCCTCTGGGCGAGGGAAGGCTTGTTCGTGTTCTTGTACTCGTCCCAGAAGGAGTTGATGATCACCGTAACGACAAGGTTCAGGATCACGGCAACGCCCATGATGTAGTTCACGATGAAGAAGGCGCGGGCCCAGCCCGTGCCGGTAACGTCCACGAACTCGTCCACGATCACGTACCTTGGTTTTCGAGCGCGCGCGCGCGCGGGGGGGGGGG